TTTCTTTCCTTCTTTCTTTCTTTTTCTTCTCTCTCTCTCTTTCTTAATACTGGGGAGCAAACCAAGGGTCTTCACACTGAGCTATGTACATCCCCAATCCTTTTTATTTTTTATTTTTATCTTAAGACAAGATCTCACTAAGTTGCCTAAATGGGACTCAAACTTGTGATCCTCCTGGCTCAGCCTCCTAAAGTGGTGGATTACAGGTGTGCACCACTGGGCCTGGCTAATTCCTTTATCTTCTTTTGGTTTCAATTTTCCACTCTCTCTTCTACCACAGTGCCTTTGCACATGTGCCCCCTTAACTTAAAACATTCTTCTCTTCCCTTTTCTTGTAATTCATTCCTATTCATCTTTCAGAATGCAGCCCCAGTATTGCTTCCTCAGGAAAACTTCCCCTGCCCCTGACCCTCTTGATGAGATCACACCTGCTCTTCTCAGCTCTCCTGGCACCTTCAACACCTGTCACTGTTTGTTTGTCTTCAATGTCTTTTGACCCACCCAGCTGTCTCTGCCACTGAAGCCTCAATGGCACATAGGAAGCCCCTAGTAAAACACTTGCAAATGGCATATGGGTAACTCACAGTAACACAACACCAAGTTGAAAGGTCCAGCCCATTTGAGGGGATTCAGTGTGCTTTCCCCAGTGCCACAACCCTGCCATCCACATGCCTTTCTCCAAAGAAAATTTCTTACATGTAGGCTGCCCTTGTGCATGAGCGGTACAGAAACTAGGGCTGGTGGAGGTAGCCCAGACAAAAGGACACTGGAGTGGGTGCTAAGGAAAAGATTATACGGTTCCACTGCTTTAGGGGCCTGGACTTCAGAACTCTGTGATGAATCATATCCCTGTACAGTATGTACTGGCCCATTAGTCATAAATTGACAGAAAATGATTTTCAGGGAAAACTCTTTGGCAAGTTGAATGTTCTGTTTGTAGCAGCCCTGATTAGCATCTACTTTTCAAGTGGTATTCATTATAATGATTAATTTTTAACTTAATGAACATATCAGCTAGCATAGAAATAGCTTTATCAGTAACGGGAAACATTTTTCTCATTAACCAGAGAAAGGCAAATTTCCCAATCATATCACATCCCACAGTTTCTTTCGTCTTTCCGTTCTCCACAGCATCTATTTCAAATCTTCCCTGTTATCTTCAACTCTCTGACCCACCTCCTTTTTAAAAAATAGTTTCTAATTTTGATTTGTTATGAAAGTAGCCATCAGATGGGTATTCTTCAAATGCCTCCTTCCAACCTCCTCATCTCCACCTCTACCCGCATCTCGATTGGGTCTATACAGGCTCAAATCTTTTGATTTGCATCTATCTACCTGGAGCAGTGAGTGATGGTATCATTATGGCATTCTTTCTTGCCTCCTAAGGAGCCCAGCCCTGTGGCTTATCCAAATTATCTCCTGAGGCTTCAACCTCTTCCCCCATATACTTTCTCGTGAGCTTTTAATTGAGCTGGTCTTTCCCATCGTACAAATGTCCTCCCTAGGTTCCTGTAATGCACTGAGTGTTAATGTTCCTCCCAAATTCATATATTGAAATCCTAATCCCCAAGGTGATGAAATCAAAAGGTAGGGGCTTTGGTGGGTGGTTAAGTTATAAGGGTGAGGTTTCTAATGAACGAGATTAGTGCCTTTAGGAAAGAGGGCCCAGAGACCTGGCTGCCTGCTCTCACCATGTGAGGATGCAGCCAGAAGGGCCTCTATGAAAAGGAAGGTGGGCTCCAACCAGAAAGTGAATCTGCTGCCACCTTGACCTTGGCCTTCTCAGCCTCCAGAACTCTGAGAAATAAATGCGTGATGACTCTAAGCCACCCAGCCTATGGTACTGTGTTATGACAGACCAAGCCAACCAAGAAAGCCCCATTCTCACTCGTGCAGTCACCTTGTTGTGCCACTCTTTGTGGTCAAACTTGGAAGAACTGTTCACATTAGCTGACTTGACTTAAGTACCACTGAGGAAACTACTCTTCGACCCACTGAGGTCCGGCCTCTCCTGCCTTCTTTCCACGGAAGCACTGTCCTTGTTTCCCTTACCTTTACTCCATCAACCATTCAAGATTCAATAATGTCAATGTGAAAATAATTGTATGTCAAATAACTTATCAGAAGAGAAATTCATTTATTTACTTGCATTGCCAATACTCCAGTTTTGGTAACTATCTTGTCTCTTCTCCCTAACTGGTCTCCTTTCTAATCTATTCTTTCCTATTGATCTTTCTCAACCCAAACACTGTGCTTAACTTCACACTAATCTATAATCTATATTATAGATTATAGATTATTATATATATGGATCTGACAGCTCAGGAGTATGGCATGGTCAATGAGGTCACTATTGATCCCATTTTTTGAGATACAGGACCCAAGAAAAATTTCAGCTTTGAGAAGAATGAGGGTGATAGAATTAAAAAGTTCCATTTGGAGCATGTGGAGCTTGAGGGTCCCATGAGATCTCTAATTATAGAAGTTCGGGAGCCAGTTAAGTATATAGACTAGGAGTTCAGAAGGTGGATTCTGGCTTAGAGTCATCAGCATCTGGAAAAGAGCTGCTTAATGCTTTGTGCTGTTGGATGTCTGGGAAGCCTATGGATCTTTTCTCAGAATAGTTTGTAAATAGAATATATATATATATATATTATATATATGTATTCATACATAGTCATACATATATGTGACTTGAATGTAAGCTCACTGACTGTAAGCATCTTTATCTTGATGATTTGGGGATGTGTAGCTGTAAGCATGGTGTCAGGCACATAGGAGCACTCTATGAATGTTTGTTAAATAAATGAATATTTGGTTCAAGCTTCAGCCTGATGGTTAACAGCAGCTCAATAAAAAGGTTGAAGGAACTAGGTGTGGTGGTGCAGGCCTGTATCTCATCACTGTGGGGGGCTGAGGCACGAGGATTACAAGTTCAAGCTCAGCCTTGTAATTTAGCAACTTAGTGAGACCCTGTCTTAAAGTAAGAAGTAAAAGAACAGGCTGGGGAGTAGCTCAGTGCAAAGGCCCTGGGTTCAAGTTCCAGTACCACAAAAAAGTCAAAGGACTAGTCAAAATATTAATTTGTAAAAATTCGTACAGACTTACACTCCAGAATGATTATTCTTCCATCATTTAAGACAAGAAACACCTCAAGGCTGTGTCTTAGTTCAGATAGTCAATAACAAAGTACCATGGCCTGGAGAGTATACAAACAACAGAAGTTTCTTCCCTACCGCTCTGAAGGCTGCAAGTCTGAGATCAGAGTGTCAGCATGATCAGGTTCTGATGAGTACTTTCTTCTAGGTTGCAGATTGAACCTAAGGGGAAGGACATGGAAAGGAATAAGAAAGCCTATTGGATTTGTTGGATTTTACAGGACAGGACCATACAGCTATTTGTTGTAAACATAGTATATTCTTCAAGGCAAGGGAAAAATGAAGCGGTAGGTGATTCAGAGTTCATCAGTGTTATCTCATGAGGGGAGGCATCACTTTGCTTTCTCCAGGCCAGAAGACCTCTTCCTAAAGTCATAGAGGTGGGACTGCCGAGGGGCAGTTTTCCTTCTGGGATAATTGATCAGACCTGTGGTTCACACCCACACTAATCTCCTTACTCAAAGGTCCACTGGGCACACCCTTGGTGTTTTCTGAGTATGCTTCCTCATTTCTGCAACATAAATAGACTGAAATTTTTCCAATCTTTTCATTCTAGTTCCTTTTTGCTTAATAATTCTATCTTCAAGTTGTTTCCTTCTTCTTGCATTTTACTATAAGCAAACAGGAGAAACAATGCCATTCTTTCAACATTTTGCTTAGAAAGCTCAGCTAAATTTCCAATTTCATTGCATGCAAGTTCTACTTTGCACAGAATCCAGTTCAGCCAACTTAGTTGACACTTTATAACAAGGATTTTATTTTCTCCATTGTGCAATAGCATGTTCCTCATTTCTGAGACCTCATGAGAATGACCTTTACTTTCAACATGTCTACCAATATTCTAGAAATCATTATTTATGTATTCTCTAAGAAAATGAATGTTTTCATCTCTCTTCTTTCGAAGCCCTCACCAGAATCATCTAAGTCCATTCACAACAATCTCAGATTCTTCAAAAATTCTTACAGCCTCTACCCATTACCCAGTTCTGAAACTGCTTCCATATTTTTAGAGATTTTTTTACAGCAACACATCATTTCTTGGTCACAATTCCTGCCTCACTTCAGATTACTATAATAAATTATCATAGACTAAGTTGCTTATAAACAACAGACATTTCTCACAGTTCTGGAGCCTGGACGTCCACAAACATGGTCAGGTTCTAATGAAAGTCCTCTTCTGGAACAGCCTGCTGACTTATCCTTATACTCTCACATTATGAAAAGCAGGAGCTTTCTGGTCTCTTCTTTATAAAGGCACTAATCTCATTTGTGAGGGTTCTACCTTTGTGACCTCATTATATCTCAAAGGCTCCACTTCCTAATAACGTCACATTCATACTAAATTTCAACATATTAGCCGGGCCCAGTGGTGCATGCCTGTAATACCAGCACTCGGGAGGCTGAGGCAGGAGGATTGTTTTGAGTTCAAGGCCAGCCTGAACTACATAGCGAGACTGTCTAAAACAATAATAAATCAGTAATACATAATAAAAATTTTAAAATTTCAACATATGAACTTGGAGAGACACAAACACTCAGTTCATATCAGGCTGCAAAGTTCCTTCTTACTGTTTAATAAGGAGAAATGCTCCTTTAATTTCTAGAAAGACACCTTTAATTTCCCATTTCCCTCTACCATCTCTGTTTCTCCTGTGATTAATAATGCCTCAATTTTTGTTTTAAATTGGATAGAGTATCTGATATGAAGATGAAGTAAATCATTAAAAGGTATGATAAAATCTATACCCAGAAACTGGTGTTTCTGATGTCAGAATATGACGTAGTGTTACAGTGATGTCATAAACACCCAGAACAGACTGAACCACATAAGTTGCTCACTTACCTGAGCAGAAGGCACATTTGGACGAGGCCTTGGACATGACTCTGTTCATTTGTGTCCTACTTTTGTCAATTTGGGCAACAAATTGTTTAAATATAAGCACAAGTAATGGATCTTCTACTGCACGTGGGTACCTGACCTTAAAATTTACAAATTATGATCTATTATATTACTTATTCAAATAGTTAATTTAAAAGGCTATCTCTGTTAAATAAATCTGCTGTTGCTTTGATGTTACTAGTAGTAATAGAATTTCTAGCATAACAGCTGATATTTTTACTTCTGTGTGACACACTTTAGCTAAATATAAGCCTAGAGATAGTAGGCTACTAGTCTCCCTTTACTTCCCTTTCCTCACCCAATGCCCCATCCAAACTAGATAATACAATGTAAATGAATCTGACACAGGACTCACCAAACAGTAGGGTTTTGTTTTCTGTTCTGAGACAAAGGATCTTACTGTTGCCCAGGCTGGTCTCACGTTGCTGAGCTCAAAGGACCCTCCCATCTCAGCCTTCTGAGTATCTGAGACTACAGATACACACGATCACACTTGACTGAACAGTAAGTTTTAACAAGGGTTAGTTCTTGTCCTAGTCCCTTTCCTGTCACACACAATAGGTAAATCCACTCACATGTGCACAACCTACACACACTACAAAACTGAGGTACTGTGGTGAACAAAACATGATGCAGGGGTAACTCAGGTAAGTTTATGGATTAGCCAGAGATGCCGCTCAGCTTTGAATTCTAGACTGTGACTAGTGATATGCATAGAGAAAAAAATTACAGTGGAAATTTAAGGCTTGAAAAATCATTAATGGCCAGGTGTGGTGGTGCACACCTGTTATCCCAACACTCAGGAGGCTGAGGCAGAAGGATCACTGAGAGTTTGAGGCCAGCCTGGACTACATAGTGAGACCCTGTCTCAAAATTTAAATTAAAAAAATTAATGAAGAGATTTTTTGACCTTCACAGCACACCACTCTCAAAGTGGATGAAAACGTGGTTACCTAATATTCTCTGATCTCTTTGTAGGAGTTAGGCCTCTTAACTCCACGAAGGAAGAAAAAGTAGAAAATTGTAGGAAGCCTTTACTCAAAGTCCTGCATGGTCTTATGATGACAGCATTTTTTGCTATCCATTTCTGCCTTATCCATTATAATTGCATGATTAAACCCATCGAACAAAAACCGTAAGTATTGATTGATTTACTGATTGATTGAGTAGCTGTAGATTAAATCCAGGGCCTCATGCATGCTAGGCAAGTGCTTTACCACTAAACTACAGCCCCAGACTAGTTTTATAACTTTAAATTAAGAATGCAAGCCAGGCATGTCAGCGCCTTGCTATAATCCCAGCACTCTGAGAGGCTGAAGCAGGAAGATTGCAAGTTTCAGCCCAGCCTGGACAACTAAGGAATTCAGTGAGACTCTGTCTTTAAATAAAAAAGAGCTGGGAAGGTAGTTTAGTATGGCCTTGAGTTCAATCCCCACTACCATAAAAAAGGAAAAAAATAAAAATAATTATTGCATGGTTTCTCTTATATGAGAAACCTGAAATATAAATAAAGAGCAAAATAAAAGATGGATAAGAGTAAATAGAGAGATAGATCTTTTGCAAAAAGAAAAGGAACCAAGAAATGGAGGGAGTGGGGGAGATGGATAGAAGAATTAGATGTTATGTGCATGTACCAACTCTCCACAAGGAATGTAGCCATTGTGTACTACAGACATGTACTAACAAAAGAGAAAGAGAGAGTGCAAAGTATGTGTATGCATATACATACGGTGCAGGTTTCATTATTGTTCAGGTTATTTAATGTTGACCTTAGACTTGTAAAGAGCTATCAACCTCTTGTGGGTGGATACTTTCATTTAAATTGTGTATATTCTTAAATATTTTCAAATGCACTATCAATTTTAGTCAAAGCTCTCCTACTCAAGGTTCAACTGAACCCAAGGTTATCACCTCCATTATGAATTCAGTTTAGGAAGAGAGAGCATGAGTACCTGAATAAAATGAAGAGGGAGAGAGACAGGGGGTGGGGCTCCTTTCCAAAGGCAATAAAACATTTTGGGTAATCTGTCATTTCAAGATTGAATAGCATGAAAAAATTATCTATTGCTGTTACTCTTATGACCTCAGTCTCTACCTTCCATATGAACAGATGGGGGAGGGGGGGCTGATATACTGATTATCTAAAAATTTCCCAATCCAAGGACTGGTGACTAAAATATAGTTCTAGTGTTCTATTCATTTAGTTTGAGAGGATTTAATATAAACATGCACAGATAGATAACTTGATGTTATAAATATGATAGGAAAATAATGACCTTGGTCTAAGGAGGTTGTTTTCTTGTAATATGTCATCAGTTTGTGACATTTTAAATAAAAGTTTAATTTTTGAAACAAGAAAGTGCCTTTCCCTCTGTCTCTCTCTCTCTCTCTCTCTCTCTTTCTCTCAACAGTAGCTGTGAAACAACTTAGTGTAATTCCAAACATAGACCACAAAGTTATCTAATATGGTTGAAATAGTAAAATATTCCTAAGGAAAAAACATTCAACAAGCATTCTTATCTGTAATCTGAGTTATAGCTTTCACCACATTCCAATTCTTATTGTGTTCAGTTTTTGTCGAGAGAGAAAAAGAAAAAAAAACACCAAAAATCTAAGCTACCATAGTATCCTACGTTTTCTGATGATAGTAATAGAATTTTGTTGTTGTTTTAAATTGTTGCTCTTCAAATTTTCTACTTTTCAGGGTCAAAAAGGAAGGTGTAGAAGCCAAATTATGCTGGCCAGCTATACTACCACTCAGCAAATCCAAGACAAAAGATTTGTGCCGTCCAGAAAAACAAACCTTGCTGCCTAATGTAGATGATTTATCTAGGCCTGCAAATCCAGAAATGTCACCCATACCACCCAATGCAGAAAAGTTAGTCAGACAATCAAGTTCCAAAAAGTCATCCAAGCCAAGCCTCATAGACTTACTCAAATCATTTTACTTGGAAGAGTTACATAGGATATACCTTCAAAAGACACACAAGAAGACACATAAGCTAGCTGCACAAGTCAGTTCACCCTCTTCAGCTAAGCCAGCCAAGGTACCTTCGCAGGCTAGTCTACAGTCTCTAGGAAGGCCAGCTGAGTCACCTTATCCTGAAAATCAAATCTTGGTCAATAATATTTCTGAGGAAAAAGATGATGATATTCAGGTGGCTGGGTACCTTCCTGTTTCAAATGAAATGATGTCTTTTGCCAGGTCCTTTCATAAGGTAGATTCCCAGGACCATGAATACTTTGCTATTGTGAGTGACAATTATAAGGTTGATGACAGTGATGAAGACAGTGATACAGAGATAACCATTATTTGTAACATCATGAGCAATGATTTACTCCCTAAAGGCACCCCAAATAACTAAGGGCTCAGTAAAAATAAAAATAAAATCCAACTATAAAGGAGTAAATTTATACCAACTATTTTATCCTTGCCATCACCGAAAACTAATAGAAAATCTAATTCTGATAACTATCAAGATTGGACCTATGCATCTTTGAGGCAATTTATGTTTAAAATCTCCATTAAATGCCTGATACCACAAATTATTCCTCTGTTTATCATTGTATTTTAGAGGTACAAAGCTTTCTGATATATCTTATATACGGCCATTTGAATGGGAAACTTAAACATACATGCACACACAAACCTAGAAAGGAATTGTACCATCCATACCCTGGATTCTTCCTTTCCTTGGGTTAGCTCTAATATGAAGCCCTGATCCAATGGCGTTTGTTTGTTTGGTTTGGTTTTTGCAGTGCTGGAGATTTAAGGATTGAACCAGGGCCTCATGCATGCTAGGCAAGTGCTCTACCACTCAGCTACATCTTCAGCTGAGTATTTATTTTTCTTTATCTGTAGTACTAGAGATTGAACCCAAGGCCTTGTACATCCTAAGCAAATGTTCCTTCACTGTACCACACCTCCAGCTCCTGAAGATTATTTTTGAATTTGTGTTTGTGTGTGATTCTGGGGATCAAACCCAGGGCCTTGCACATGCTAGGCAAGCATTCTGCCACGGAGCTACACCTCAGCCCTACATTTTAATGTTTATGTGGAATCCTCACAGTTTAAGATTATCTCTTTTTCTGTAGTGCCTACTGCTTGATGGACATATGCCTATGCTATGGTGTTTATGTTGCTTTTCTTGTTGCTGAGACAAAATACCCGACACCCAAAGTTAAAGGAAGAAAGGTTTATTGAGCACACAGTTTGTAGAGGTTTCAGTCCATAATTGGCTGGCTCCAAGGCAGGGTGGCACATGGCAGAGGGGCAACAGTTAAAGTAGAAGTAGAAGACAGCAAAAGCAACAAGAGGCCTTAACAGCGTCTTTCTGCCCCTTTTATCTTATCCAGACTACCGGGATTAGGGTGGTGCCAAACCAATCAGTGGATTGGACTGATTTAGTAATCACACGCCCTTAATCCCAGCATCACACACTCTAGATTCAGCCACCTCTGAAAAAGCCACCTATGACTGCATGAGCCTTTGGGGGAATATCTAGACCCAAACTCAAACATCTAGACCCAAACCATAAGATATGACCTGAATATTTGTGTTCCTCCAAACTTCATGTAGTTAAAATGGAAGCTCCTATGATAGCATTAGGTGGAACCCTTGGGAGGTAATTAGATCATGGGGGTGGAGCTCTCATGAATGGCATTAGTGCCCATTCTGCCATGGGAAACTCAGCAAAAGGACTCCATCTATGAACCATAGAGCTGATCCTCACCAGACACTGAATCTGATGGTACTTTGGTCTTGGACTTTCTGGAATCTAGAATTGTGAAAAATAAATTTCTGTTGTTTACATGCCATTCACTTTATGGTATTTAACTATGCAGTCCAAATAGATAAATACACCCTACGTGCTTGGTTCTGGCTGAGCTGGAGAAATTTCTAACAACACTGCTTCCAGAGACTGCCATCTAAAGTGAGGTTCCAGCCAGCAACACCCACATATGGAGCTCCATGTTATTAGTCTAAGTTCTCTAATCTGTGATACTCTCAACAAGGCTTCTCATTATTTTTGTTACCATTCAAACTTGTTAAAAAAAAGTTTGCTCTTCTGTGCATTCTCCAAAGGTCCCAGGTGGGACCTCTCATTTACCTATTTTTCCTACATCATACTTATCAACAGGGATAGGAGGCCAGAGGAGAAGCTTGAAGTTATACAGTCTAACTTCTTCATTGATAAAATGTTATATTTGCTACTGCTAAGAGTGTAGTTGAGAAAAACAGGCAAAGTCCTGTACTCTCAGCCTATATTCTAGTAGAGTTCAGGTTGTCTCATATAACATCTGACTGGTATAAGTGAAATGCCAGTAGCTAGCATGGATTGAGTGTGTCAGGCACTGTACTAGTCCCTTTATATCTCACAAGCCCTGAGGTTGCCCTCAAGTTTGCCAATTCACAAAAAGGACACACAAGACTCATTAGCAGGTTAAACTGATGACTAAAGTTTATTAGAACAAAATTATATAGATCAAGAACATCAGAAAAAAGATACTGCAGATTGGTGGAATCAAAAGACCTCAAGCATAGTCTTTTGACTATTTCCCCATCTGTGGCCACACAGGACATGCTTTCTCTTTAGCAGAAAACTATGTAGACAGATACATAAGGTCTCTGCTCACAGAAAGCGGTTCAAATCTCTGAATCTGAGGCTTTTATTGAGAGCCATGTAGAGACATCATGCTACATGACCAACCAAGGCAACTAAAATTTAGGACCCCAATAATGAAATCAGATACACAAATTGTATGTTGATGTATGTGCAAAGCTATCCTGAAAAGCTGATAAGGCCTGACCCATTACTCCAGGTGCACAAAACATAATCATCAACCATTAACATAAGAATACTTTAAGGGTCACATTTCCAGGTGTTGGCCAAAGTTCAGTCATGGTTCCAGTTCCCTTGAAGATATGTAACGTCTCAACGGCCAGACCTACTGAATAAACACTTTCCTCCACCTTCACATATTTTACTTAAACTTCAATTGTTCCCCATTATATGGGAGATTATATGAGTAAACTGAGGCTGTGGGGCATACAGCAAGATCACATCTAGTAATTGAATGAACTGAAGTTAGAATTTATGGTTGGCTCATTCTCGTCTTTTATTATGATGTTCTCCCTTCTCACTGCCAGCTACTAGAGTGTTGATTCTTTACAGATCACTGAATTCATTGGTGTAAGCACAATTCGTGCTTGACCTTAAATCGGTCTGAACCATTCTCCTAGCCTGCCACAGGCAGATAAAGATGTCTTGTGAAGTGGCCATTCACATCTAGTTTCCCCATGGCCTCTGTCTCTGCATAGGTAGCTCCTCCAGGTCTGCATCCATGAGGTCATCATAAAATTTACAGATGGTACAATATAGCTGCTTATGCAGAAGTTTTAAGGGATGGTATATGCATTTCTTTTTAAATGTGAGAGCTGTTGGACTTGATTTCCTACTGGTATTACTTCTTTTAAAAAGACAAACTATAAAGGAATAAATTACAGATTATTCTGGATTAGAAAGACATAGTCGTTTTGTTTTGTTTTGTGCTAGAGATGGAACCCAGGGCCATGCTACACAAGCACTCCACCACTGAACTGCACTACATCTCCAGTACTTTTTATTTATTTTGAGGGTCTCACTAAGTTACCTAAGCTGGCCTTGAAGTTGCAATCCTCCTGTCTCAGCCTCTTGAGTAACTGGGATCATAGATATGTGCCACCATGCCCAGCCAACCCTAGTCTTCTTAAAATTCACAAAAAGAAGCTAAAGTTTTTATCAAGTTTTTAAACTGTTCATCATGAAATAGTTCAAATGTATACAAAAGTAGAGCAAATAGTATAATGAACCTCCATATAAGCACTATTCAGATGCAACAATTATCTCTACGTGATTAATCATGTTTCATTTATACTCCTAGTCATTCTGTCTCCCATTTATATCTCTAAACAGTAACTTTTGAAAATGCTTAACTAATACCATTGCACCTACAAACTGATGATAATTCCTTATAAAACAATTATCTAGTCTGTGTTCAAATTCCTCTTCTGTCTCCTAAAGTTATTATATTTGTTTTGTTTAAATTATTTTTGTTTATATTACTTCAATCAATTAAAGAATCTAAGACTAAACTTTTAAAAATCAAAACTGCAATTTTATTGCATAGTATGACCTCACATTTAGGATGATTTTGGAACTAATCTGACCTACCCTGGAAAACAGCAAAAGTTGAATTGTGTAGTTTTCAGTTTAAATTCAACAGATATCTTGGTAGGCAAAGCCAAATAATCTAAGCTCTATAGTCTTTCCCATTTCAAAACTAGAGACATGTAATACTTTAAAAGCTGTGAATATTAACATCTAATAAAAATGACTAATTGCTAGTGACTACCAACGATAATGACATCTTAAGAACAAGTTATCTGCATGAGTATGTAAGTTCCTTTTGAAACTACACTTAATTATAGAGTAGGTGTCTACAGAATATTTGGAGCTCATTCAATATGCAAAACTCTAAGTGCGTTAATGGGGGCACACCCATAACACCAGTATTAGAGTATGTAAGAAAAATATGTGTACCATAAATCAGAAAAGAATTGTAGAAAGGAAGGAGAGAGAGAGAGAGAGAGAGAGAGAGAGAGAAAGAGAGAGAGACAGAGACAGAGACAGAGACAGAGACAGAGAGGGAGGGAGCGAGGGGAGGAGGAAGGAAGGAAAGAAGGATTTAACACCAAAAACTTACCTAGGCTAATAATTTTTTAAAATAACCATATCACTCCATTTGAACATCTTTAGAACATCTTGGAAATGTCTTAAGTAAGAGAGTATTGGGTTCCTCTTTCCTGGCCTTCTTGCAGAATTGTGTTATTTATCTCTTAGGATGTTTTACTACCTTGTCTCTCACTCTCCAGTTTTTAAGCCTGTTCAGTAAGAGCCAGGGCCATTAGCTGTCGGCCACTGCTCCCCTACGTTACCCTGCACAAGATGGCACTGTGAAGCCAGTTTCTAGTCCTCTCCTCTTTCTTTTGAATCTATCTTCTGTACACTCATCTACAAAACTCATCCTCAGTTCCTAGTGATGGTACTAAAACAGATCATATTTCGCCCCTTTCATTCAGTAAAATCCTTTCTAAAAATCCATCTCTCTTTAAAAAGTGCTGAAAGATCAGATTTCAAATCTGTCTCCTCTAATATTCTTTCACATGAAACTATGTAAGGGTGGAGCTGAAAGAATGCTTCCATTTTCCTGGGTGGAGAGTGGCTTTAAAAAGCTGAAAGAATCCCTTAGCAAGAAGACCACTCCACCGAAGGCAGGGGGAGCAAGCAGCGCCACTGTGCTTAGGGTAACAGATCTTGAAGTGCCGCCAGAAGTGATACGCCAGGTGTGGGATGGTGATGGTAGTGTCAAGCAGAGATGTTCTAAATGTCTTCAGTTTCATCGGCTCCCACAGTTCTACAGTTCCTGCCACACTGCAGGCAACCCTTAAGAATTAGAAACCATAAAGTCAGGGAAAAAAGAGCTAGCTCTGTAGGG